AACGCTCCGTGTTACTTGGCGGGGAAGCGGTGTTTAGTAGGAGCGCGCAGGGACAGGAAAGAGGCGTCCGGGCACAAGCAGGTTTTGGCCGAGTGGTGAAATCGGAGCTGCTGCTATCCCATGTCCCACGCAGCAGCCACCACCATGGCTCCTCGAAGCGGGAGGAGGTGCAAACGGCCCCACGTTTGTGTAAGCCCAGCTGGCAAGCAGAGGGCCTTGCTCAGCTGATGGGGGAGAAGAGGACAGCAGCAAGGACAGTTTCTTTACTTTCTCTATGATAGTTTGGTTTTAGTCTCACATTGCAGGTGGGACAAGTGACCTCAGGGCTGCTTTCACCAGGCGTAATTGAGCAAGCCCATATGGATGTGAATGCAGGGAAGAAATGCCACCTCAGGAAGACTGCCCCCCACCCCCCAGTTGTAGTGATGAGAGAGACAGATGCTGCTGTGTTTTATGGAGGTGTAATGCACCTGTGCAAGTGTTCACTATGGATCCCAATAAGAAAGGCAACCAGATTCTGTATTGATTAAAATACCATTTGTTGGGGGTAACATTAGAAAGCAAAATGGGATAGCATTAGATAATCTTAGAGCCCTTCAGATGCTGGGAACAGCAAATAGTACAGCATCAGCCCATGCCATCCTGCACAGGTAGCGTCTGTGCTGAAGTTCACCAGTGTCATGGTCTTCAGGGTTTTTACAGGATTTTCTTGGAAGTAAATGACTCTATCTGTCAATCAAAGGATGTTCCCATAAGAATATGCTAAGATAAAGACAAGGACACAGAGGTGGCATCATCACCAGGTGCCAAGCAGAAGCAACCTGTAGGCTCCCCAGTTAGGTTTAGCCAGCTGGTGTTTAGCCTGCAGCCAAGTGGTATGTGCAGCACTGGCCTGCACCTTCTCATGTCAACGTGTTACATGGATCACCAGAGTATTTCACATCATAAGTGCTTCCAGTATTTTCAGTTACTTTTTTTTTTTCATTCCTGCACCCCTCTGTTTCTCTTCTTTATAATAACCAGTCAGTCTTTACACTGCAGCTTAAGTCAACATTGTTACATTTATGCATAGATTTTTACCATCTTCTTGTCTTTCCTTTAAAGGAAAGGTGTTAGCATCTTTCATGGTATCGTGCATTACATAGAGTTAACTTTAAGCACCACTAGAATACAGCAGTTAAGCTTGGTTATCAGACAGGTATGAATATCCTCTAATACTTACCTATACCATCTTCCTTTAATGTTGCTTCTGTTCTGGTTCCTACATTCATTCTGTTGCTTAAGCACTTGTTTAAAAAAAACCTTACTGAAACCAACCATTCTGTCACTGCCTGACTGCTTCTTTTCCAGTTGCCGTTCTTCTTTCCCTTTGTGAGACAGGACAAACCCATCTACCAGGGTCATTAGGCTGTTAACTGCAACTGCTAAAACCTTTTATCTCAAGATTACTCAAGGTTACATCCATCTCTTAAGTTTCAACTATTTTTTTACATTGGTTTTGCTTTATAATTGGAGATTTTCGCTACATCCTGGGACATTTTCTAGCCCTCTCTGGTATCTTACAGCAATGTTAGTAATTAAAGGTGCTGGCTCTCCACAGCCTTTTCTTGCTCTGTAACGTGCTTCTAGGGCTCCTCTCTGTTTCTCCCATTCTTGTGGTTAGCCTCTGCAGCAGGACCACGTGCATCAGCTACCACCTCTCCAGGGGCTTTGACTTCCATCCCTCTTCCATCTGTTCACCGTTCCTGTAAGCAACTTTTTGTTATTTAATTTTCTTTCTGTCTTCAGCCACCCCATGAGTAATGAATGCTATTTTCTTTCTTACAGTGAGAGAGTTAAGATTCATACTTTTACCCTCACAGAGTTATGGCTTTCAACACAGCTGGGAGTTGGAAGAAAGCCTTTGGCAATTGTTTGTTTCCTATGTAACTATTTTTCCAACTTCCAGGGAGCAGAGCATAGAGGGTTTGGCCTTGGCCTGTTTTCTTGGGCCTTTGTCTGCAGTATGACGGGTACAGTTTGCTGGTTCAATAGTTGGTGCATTTCTGAATATTTTCCTGAAGTGAGTTATACGGTTTGGTCACCAATCGTAACACTTTGGGTACAATGACAAAGGATGAATCCCCCATCCCCTCACACTGGGGTTCCCCTGTCCCTGAGGACAGGAGAGCCGCTGAGTGGGGAGGCCTTCAGGACCCAGAGAATCGTCCCCTTCCCTCGCAGCCTGCTGCCGCCTTTCTAGTCAAACACCTTGGTCAGGTTTCAGCCAGTTTACAAGTTGGCCGAAGGTTGAACCCTGGCCATGGTGTGAGGTTTAAGTGTAACACTTAAGTTTACGTGCATGCCTGATACCTGGTGAGGCCCTGCCAGCATGAAGGACCCCAACCATCCGACAGACCTGTGCACTTGTCACCCCAGAGCGTTGCAGCAGCACCCCGAAGCCCTGCTGAAGCCCTGCCAGCGTGGTGGAGCCCCACCAGCCTGGAGACCTGTGTGAATACTGCCTGAAGGTGTAAGGGTCACAGGTGTACAAGATCTCCAGCCAGACAGGTGATCCACGTGTCTGCTGCCCCGAAGCATAATGATTATAGGCATTATAACGCAGCATACTGTGTGACTGTTCCCCACGCCAGCCTACGGGACCAGGCAGGTATCCATCCTTTTCCTCGCTATCCTTCTTCCAGTAAGGCGTTTCTCACCAGGATCCTGCCAGCCACACCAAATGTAACGCACTGGTGCAACTGTTTGTTATGGATCCCAGTAAGAAAGACACTCAGAGCCCATAATGTATTAATTAAAATACCGTTTATTGGACATAACACAAGAAAGGGTATAGCATTAGATAATCCTGCACCCCTTCAGTTGCTTCAAACACCAAGTTGTACAACATTGGACAGATACCTAGTCAGGCCATGGCATGCTGCACAGATCTTCTCCATGTTGAAGTTCACCAGCATCGTGGTCTTCAGGGCTTTTATAGGATTTTCTTAGGAGTAAACAACTTTATTGATCATTTTGCTGTCCAGCAAAAGGTTGTTCACGTGAGAACATGCTGCTTCTAGGATAAAGACAAAGAGACGGTGGTGGCATCATCACCGGGTGCCCAGTGGGAGCCACCTATGGGCTCCTCAGTCAGGACTAGCCAACTAAGTTCATCCTGCAGCCAAATCATACATGCAGCACAGCACAGACGCCCCTACCTACTCACATCAACTGTTAGGTGAATAATGTTTCTGTGAGGATGTCCTAATTCATAATTGCTCCTACTTTTTCTCTCCTATTATCTCAGAATAAAGAAGGTAGTTACCGGTCAGCAGATTAAGCAATAGGGGCCTGGATTCTCCCCTTCCCTTCCCCCAGTTGCTCCCCCTTCTTTCCGGGTTGTGCTGTGACAGAGGACACATCCTTCAAACACACCGCACAAGCCCAGCTCCAACGTGAACGCTTTGCAGCTGTGTCAATATTTGAAAACTGCAAGAGTTAGGATAGGCACCAAAGGGAGAGCAGTAGGAAGCGCTGTGGCTTCAAACACAAGCCCCCCTCATACGCTTCTGCTCCCACTGGTCTGTCTCCAAGCGCTCAGGCCAAAGACTGAGCTCATCTGCTCCCTGACTTCAAAGAAAATAGCTGAAAACAAGGACACCCAAAGGTTTATTAGCTGAATTCATCTTCCATCCTCGCTTCACATCTGACTCTAGCACCTTGTCTGCAAACCGGTCGTAAAAGTTTATGGAAAAAGTTGAATGCAGAAACTACAAAGAGCAGCTTTTCAGATGGTCACATCATTACTGCATTCATAGCACCCCAAAAGGGAACTGTGCTACTGATGATTCCCCGGTGACACTATACCCTCCTCTTCTGCAGCGGGCATAAAAAGCCCAGAGAATTTAGGCCCCTAAACAAAACTTTTTTTGGGAAATGTAGATGTTAGGGAGGGGCAAGATGGGAGACCAAGAACAGCCACGACTGAGGATGCAGCAAATGAAAGCAGTGTTTGTGTAACATGTGAAAAGGGCGTGCAGGGTGGGCAAGTCTGAAAGACCTCTGTTAGGGCTGATATTGTTGGTCTCTTCCTATAAGGCCACGTTCACATGGCATTGGGAACTGTGCAGTTCCTTCCCGAAACAGGACCGATTTTCTTCAGCGTGCCTCCGAGCACTAAAGATGGAGCAGTGGGAATATTGGGGTGTAGCTGTGGACTGTTGGACCCATACCTGGAGAGGTGAGGAGCCTCTCAGCTGGGGCCAGTGAATAGTGCACTGTACAATGCTATTTGCACAGTGGGACACGAAGCTATCCCTTCATGCCCTCAGACAGACCATCCAGTCACCGTAAGGCCAGGAAGCCGACAGCAAGCAAAATGGGTGACAGTGCAGAAGGAACACTCGGCGCTAGCTCCGAGGCAGGACTTTGCTTTTGCTAATTGTGAAAAATGCTCTTCAAAAAAACCCACAACAGAGACACCTTGTAAACACTTGGGAAGCTGCTTCCCAGCCATGTCTGGCATCAGCATCACCTTCAAATGATCAGAAGTGTTGCTGAGCTCCAAGAGGAAAAGCCCAGGAAAGTGCCTGAATAGCAACAATTAATTAGAGAAAGAAAAACTTGAAAGGAAGGCGTTGTTCAAAGCCACTGCTTTGAGACTTTTCCCGCCTTCCCCACGGTGCACTGTCACCCACTGACAGTGTAACAGAGGCAGAGCAGAAGCACTGCTCATTAACACTGTAGGTGTCTTCTCTAAGAAGCTATTCCCATCAACAGCCAGTGCCTTCCCTGCACCAGGCCGGAGTGTGGCACGTGTAGGCTCATGGCTCAAAGCAGAACCTACTGAAAAGACCCAGGTCTACACAGGCAGTTACCTCCAAGACTGCTAATTCTGCATGGGGCTGAGCCACAGGGCCTCGTTGCCACAGAGAGACAAGAGAGCTAGTTTTTTTTGTTGTTTTTTTACTCCATTTTAATAAGTACAGAAGAAGATCAGCCAGGGCAGGCTGGGATAGTCAGGTCCCAGTCTCAACCTCCACCACTTCTGCCACTGCTCCAAAGCCCACCCCCTCCTGGATGATGACCACATCACTTGGTGAGCCCTCGTCCCGCACTATAATGCATTTGTCCTCATGCTCAGGGGTGGTGATTTCAAGGATGTCCTTTGCTGATGGCAAATGCCCAGCGGGCCTCCCATGTGCCCCAGGATCTGGGGGGCTGCCTCGAGACTGGTAAGTAGCAATGCAGTGACCACTGGCTGTGATCAGCAGCTCAGCCTCATTTCCTGGCCCCGGCACCTCCACCGTGAGCAAGGTGGGCTCCGCCGCAACCTCCTCCTGGTGGCCCTTCCTCTGATGCCTTTTCCTTGATGCCTGGGCTAGGTCCACATCAAGCGAGGCCACTGCAGTGGTGAGTTCCTCAGGGTCCTTTTCCGCCCTGTGGGTGAGCACATGGCGCGCAAGGCTCTGGGAAAGGGTGTAGCCCATGCCACAGAGCTCGCATTTGTAGGGCTTGTCAGCCAGGTGGGATTTCTGATGGCGCCGCAGCTTTGTGGCCAGGGTGTAGGACTTGCCGCACTGCTCGCAGCGGAAAGGGCGCTCACCTGTGTGCAAGCGCTCATGGGCACGCAGCGTGTGGGGGTCCCGCAGCGCCTTGCCGCACACGGTGCACAGGTGGGCCTCACCCGTGTGGGAGATGAGATGGCGCCGCAGCTCTGGCAGCTTGGGGAAGGCGTCGCCGCAGAAGCGGCACTTGTAGGGCTTCTCGCCCGTGTGCAGCCGGAGGTGCTCGCGCAGGTTGCTCTGCTGTCGGAAGTCCTTGCCGCAGTAGGGACAGGTGTAAGGGCGCTCCCCCGTGTGCAGGCGCATGTGGTTGCGCAAGGAGCCGGGGTTGGCCAGGTGGCGTCCACATATGGTGCACTGGCATCCCTTGGGACCAGCCTGGCCAGTCCCGGTGGCCAGATGGATCTTCCTGTGAATGCGGAGAGAGGGCCGGCGCGCAAAGGCCTTGCCACACTGCTCGCAGGAGAAGGGGCGCTGGCCGGTGTGCAGGACCTGGTGCTCCTGCAAGTCTCGCTTGGTGCGGTAAGCCTTGTCGCACTGGGTGCACTGGAAAGGCCGCACACCCTGGTGGGCCAACACGTGGGCCTTGAAGCTCTCCTCTGAACTATAGCTCTTGCCACACTCCGTGCACAGGAAGGGCTTGTGGCCAGCATGGACAAAGCAGTGCTTCTTGAGGTGGCAGAGCTGCAGGAAGGCTTTACCACACTCCCCGCAGCGGTACCTGCGCTTGATCATCTCCTTCTGGGACAGAGCTTTTGGTGGGGGGCCTGGGCTGCCAGAACGACCCTCCATCACCTCCGTATACTCCTCCTGCTCCTCAGGCCCCTCCAATGGGCCCTCTTCCCCATGCTCTGGGGATGCCACTCTGGAGTCTTTGGAAGCTTTGCTCTCTTTCTCACAAGTCTCCGCAGTCTCTCCTTCAGAAGGACTGGGCTGCTGGGATTCCTGCCCAGCTGACCTGCCATTACAGTCCTGCAGGCGCTTCTGGAGCTGGCTGGCCAGAGCACGCACCTTGCGTGGCTTGCCAACCAAGCGAGTGCCGGGTCGAAACCCGTTTGAGGGCAACAGATCCAGGTCTCCTGGACGTGCCTCTTCATGCCCCATCTCCACTTTTTCTGCTGCAGATCCGGGATCCACACCCTCATCCAGTTCTTCCTTGTACCGGCCATTGGCCTGAATGGTTGAGATGATAGTCTCGAGGTGCTGATTCTCAGTCCTCAGCACCTTGGCTTGCCATGGCTCATGTTCCGAAGTTGTGCTTTCCTCTTCTTGCAGCCTGTGGGGATGTTTGGCGGCCGGCCTGCTAACCTCAGGAGGGACATCCAGGACTGTGGTTTCATCAGCTACCACCTCGGAGACATCGAGATCCCCTGCACAAACACAAAAGCATGGTGGGTGAATTATCGCTGGCTGTTGTTATATGACACGATTGCTGCTGGATCAGAAGAATACAGATGACGCTCTGCCATCCAGTAACCTAGGTCTGGCATGGAAACCATTACTTTTCTGACTTTTTCTTTTAAACTGGGGAGACGTGGGGGAATCGCAGTTCTCACCACAGACAGCACCCGCGCAGCGTTTCTGGTATTTCACAGGCAGTATTTCTGGGAGGTACCACCACGGGCGGCACAGCCCGGGGCGGCAGGCTCCCTTCCCGGCTGCAGCTCTCAAAGGCGAGGCACGGCCGGGGCGGCGGTG